GATGATCCACATAGTGGGCACCTCTTGAGGTTTGCTCTACCACATACAGAAAAAAAAATTAAAAAAATCAGCTCTCCTAACTGAGAATCTTGGATCTGATGTAGTATATTATAATGGTCAGATTAACACACGCAGTTTTACCGTTCCAGAAGCAGACAGTCCTGTTCCTTACCCACCTGGCAGGAGATACAAATTGGGGAAAAGGATTTCCTTTACAATTATCTTGCATTGAGAATTGTTCCTGAGTAATAAGAGCTACTCTTTCCTCTCTCCAGAAATCTCAGCCTGTTAAATTGCTCTTGTGACGGCTGAATCCACATTTCAGGTACGACAGCGGGAAGCGCTGCAGGCAGGGCAATGCCCCAAGAGGAGAGCAGCTCTCAGTTCACAGGATGATGAAAACATGCGAACTCTCCGTGCTCCAGTCAGTTTCTGGGAAACAATTTCTCTGTGCCTCAGTCTGATGTTGCACTGCCTCAGTACTGCTTACTTCTCTCTTCAGAAAGAAATCAGAAAAAGAAGAAAATACTTCAGTGGAGCAGGTAAGTTGGCAAGCAAAGTAGTAGCAAGACAGTAGCCCTAAAACTTTACACGTACCTTAGCATCTAGGAGTATGAATTGAGCCCTCCAGGTTTTAAAACTACAGAAACTTTGGTGTACATCCATGTGGAACACGGTATGTTGCTCAAGCACCACTTTCAATTTTGGCTAATAAAGACATAAAAATGCAAACCAGCTCCATGACAACCACCGCCTAAGTGAGCGAACTGCCCAACTGTGTCTTAATAAAGCTCCTTCCTCTCCCCTCACTGCATGTTGAGGGTTGCTTGTTTTAGATAAGCACATGAAGTCATCAAAAGGAAGATTAATTTAAAAGCTTGATAACTTTCTTTTTTTTTTTTTTTTGAACATCAGTGGGGACAGAGCACCAGACTAACAAACTAATCGAGGAAGGACAGTGTTTATCCTGCCCAAAAATGAAAATGCCCAGAACTTTTCCCCCCCTCCTTCCTTCCCTCCCACGGTTCTCCCGGTGACGCCTCCCCTGAGCCAGCGTTACCTAACTTTTACACAAACACGCAGTTTCCATAAGCATCAACTTCAAACAGCTCTGGATTTCTGTCTGATCGCATCTCAGTTTAGGGGAGCAGAGGCAAAGAGCTACTACTGAGAGGTTCTGCAGCAACTCTACAAGGTAATCAACTTGTTGGATTTTTACTTTTTGTTTGTAATGCCTAACTAGAGGTTAACTAGATGGACCAAAACAAGTCCCCTGGCAAACTGTCTTGTGAGGAATTTGTAGTAGGATAAAAGTCTCACTACAAATTCAGAAATAGATTACTTTGGCTTACTCGCTTCCTGGAGGGAAAAAAAAAAGAGGTGGCTTTTAAGATTGAGACCTAGCATAAGATAGAAAATCACTAGTCCCTTCTTTTAGTCATGGGTGTCCGTTGTATGTGTTTAAACAGGCGTACGCATTCTGATTTAGTTTCGTCACATCAGGCAGATTTAGAAAGCAGCAGTCTGCCGGGATCGCGCTCCAGCTGTTTTGCTCAGCACTGCCCCAGCCTGCGTGCCTTTTTCTCCAGCCACGCTGCCACAAAAACAGCCCTTAATTCTTTGTAGCTTCTTATACCTTTTGCAGGCTCTAAGCTGCCAAGATGCTTCTGATTTTGGTCACTGGTCTTGCCCTGTCTGCTTCTGCTGTTGTGACAGAAAAAGAAACTGATCCAAAGCAAGAGCCATTTCATGACATGCAGAAAAAAGTGAATGACCTCTGGCAGAATTTGCTCTATCCAATACTGCCTGGTAACGAGACTGATGGGATGATTTACGCCGCTTGTGAAATGAAGCCCAGCTCCAAAATAGATGCTGACAAGCCACAAGTAACTGGACAAGTCTTGTTCAGACAGTATTACTCATACGGAAGACTAGAAGCCGTTTTTTACTTGGATGGGTTTCCGCTGGATAACAATCAGTCTGCTAGAGCCATACACATCCACGAGCTCGGGGACCTCAGCAACGGCTGCGATTCAACGGGAGGACACTATAACCCTTTCAGAGTGAATCACCCTCGTCACCCAGGAGATTTTGGCAACTTTTCTCCTAAAGAAGGCAAAATCAGAAAATACAAAGCGAATCTCTTCGCAACTCTGTTTGGTCCATATTCCATCATGGGCAGATCCGTTGTGATCCACGAGCAGGAAGATGACATGGGCAAGGGCAACAACAAAGCCAGTTTGGAAAACGGGAACGCTGGGAGACGGCTGGCCTGCTGCGTGATTGGGATGTGCAACAAGAGCTTGTGGGAAGAGAAACTGCCTGAGGTTACGGACAAGAAGAAGAGAGGGCTCAACAAACGAACATAGAACCAGGCTTAAGCGAAGACCAACAGGCTGGCTGCTGCCCCGGCAGCACAACGTACCTTCGGCTGTGCCAACGGCCACCGACAGCTACAGCTAAAGGATTCCCGTTTCCATTTGCTTGCTCCTTTAAGAAACACGTATCACTTTGTAGAGCCTCCTTTCTGTAAGCCCACCAATAAAAACAGCATCAACTCAACCCTGTGATGTATTTTCTTGAAAAGATGCCCTTGTACACAGTTTAGGAGTCAAATGCATATAAGAGAAGAGTGCTAACGGATACGGCCGATAGCCTGTAGAGTTTGTGCGCTGTGAGGGGCTCTTAAGGGATTGTAAGTTAGATACTAAAGGGATAAAAAGTTAGGCCTAAGTAAGAAATTGCCTCTCATTAAATGCTAGCCTGTATTTAGCTCCAAATCCAAAAGGTAAAAAGATCTCTGCTTTCAAGAGCATCGGGTGTTGTGTTGCAAGATCTGGATAACGGACTTCCCCTAAAAATTAGGGAAAGTACAGACATTTCTGTTTTGAATGGGAGATCCATTGTGTTGTTCTTGTTTTTTCAGGTTTTATTCTCAAACATGTATAAGCTTAACTATTTTAAATTGTCCACGTGGCTATAACTAAATCACAATGAAAGCAGACTTAAAAGAAATATTCCAGCTTACTACCATGACTTCCCAGCAAAAATTCCCTAAAGCCTTTAGTCTGTGCCTGTTAGTAACTAAGTTGTGTGCAAAAGTTTTAATGCTGCTTAGATGATAAATTTAGCAGATCAGAGAAAAATATTATTTTCAAAAAATGCTGAGTGTTTCTTTGTACAGAAAACATAGGAAGTAAATCAATCAATTCAGACTGGGAGGAGTGACAGTGAAAAGATTTAAATCAGATACTTTTCAGACTTAAAACTATCGCTCAATAGAGCTTTATGTTTTTAATTTAACACAACTCACTGAAAATACTAAAACGCTACCTCAGGACTATCATTCATCTGATACTGAGAAAAGGAAACAAGCAGGTAGAACAAATGTATCAGGAAATGTTTTTATTAAAGATGACAAAATGTATTAATATGGTTGAACCACGTTGTGCAGTTAATCCAGGCAGCAACAAAGGAGAGGTTTGCAAATAAATTAAACTGCATAATTTAGAAAGTAAAACTACAAAACAGAAGCGGGTAAACAAAATCCTATCTTTTAGAAACACAGAAGACTTTCAACTTAATCTCAGTTAAGATTTTGAAATACATTCCTGAGCTCATATGGATTAAAGAAATTCCACTGTCTTTATTATACAAATTCCCATGTGCTTAAAAATAGTCTCACTTAGAAAAGAAGCGGCATTCTAAAAGATACTTCTTAATCTGTCATTTTCACACACTTATTTTACAAATTCAGTGAAAATAATCTTTCAAATAACCATAACGTTGTACTTTCAAATGGAACTCTTCTCACAGATAATGCACAATTTCATTTTTAGGGGAGACAACCTTCTCAAAAAATCAGTTTGCAAAATGCATCTTTCTCCAGACCCCTGTCACAACATTCCCTTCCCACTCTGCTTCCCCAAAGCTTGACACCAAAAAGGCTGGATGCGATTTCTGCACTTCTCAGGTCTTAGAAAAGGGGACTGCAAGCCTTTTTCCCACCACCATGAAAAACTTAACACAGCATTTTGTTGTTGACTTGACACTGATTAATTTACTGGGGAAAAAACCCACAATAATATCAATTAATGTAATACACAAGGAAGATACTGACAAGAATGTTCAATTAGTCATCACATAGTGCAGCAAAGATGTCTTCATTTTGCAAGTCTGCTCTCTTGGAAATCTTCTGTTCCTGAGAGAAGGCTAAAAATGTAGCTGGAATATATATTCACTAGGGCAGAGAGGGACAGTATCACAGCAGTGATATAACACTAAAAATGACGCTTCCAGAGATCTGGATATCTCAATGCAATTTAATGATTGCAAAAATATAAAAATGGCATCTAGGAGAGAGAATGGTGTGAGGATAACTACCGAGATGTCCTGTTTGTTGCGTTGTACATCACAATGTTCTCAGAGAAAAAAACATTCCAAAAATAATCAGCAAATGAGGCACTAAAAAGCTGGTAGCCCAGCACTGCTTCTACCTGCTCAAATTTTTGGACCAAGCTCTTCATTAATAAATAGCACTAACTGGCTATTAAGGGACCAGGAGCAAAATGCTAACTCACAACTGTGAGTCAGAAGAGACACAGGACAGAGAAATAATATAACACCCTCAACATTATCTGAGCTCAGCTACCTGAGATCTTGACCTTCTTATTCACTCGCCTCGGTTCTGACTGCACTGATATTTAGCTCTGCGCAGGATTAGTCTGTGAAAGATGGAAAAGAATACATCTTTAATAAAATGCTACTTCATGTGACATTCAAGCATTAAAGGAAAAAATCCCTCCACACTCTCCCAGAGATTTCAGTTTCTGCAGCTACTGCTCTTCCAGCTTGTCAGTACTGTCATATAAATGAGTCAATAATGCAGCCAATTACAATTAACGGGAATAGCACAACAATCTTTCAAACACTTAAACTCTTCTTGATTTTTCAGGTGATGAGGAACTTAAATGTGATCAGGATAAAGAAAGAAAAACTTTTTACTGCTTCATGTCCCCAGTAAGCTTAAACACACAGATGTGTTCTGTTCCTAAGGCCTGCTGCTTAATACCAGTGAAATGCTGCAGCGTCAAATTACCTTTAAAGAGAAATGAAACATGTTGACGAGTGCTGTGAGTATGGCTTTACTGCCTGCAGACAGGCACTGAAAGGGTTACAGGAATGCACCTGCTAAGGAAAACACATGAGAACAGCGACAAGCCACATTTTTCACCTTCCCACCATCATTCCTTATATTTATATGTAATAATTTACATATGGCCTTTCCTTTGCTGAATACAAACTGTTCATGGATTCTGACACCTTGATTATGGCAGCACCTGCTAGCTCATCTTCCATATACACAAGAGTTTGTCAGTACTGCTAAACTAAAATCCATTTATTCAGTAGCTGACAAGTGGGCTGTAAAAATTTGCAGCTGGCAGTTATTTGTCAAAGAAGAACTCAATCTGGGAGGGATTTTCCTTTTTATTAGTGGTATTTTATTAAATTTGGTTTAATTCTCTCTGATTGGTTTCAAGTTCTAGGAGTGAGAAATGAACATTTACAGACAATTAGGTCCCAAGCCAGCAGAAAAATTGCCTTGACGGCTGCTGGCCCATAGAAGCTCCACAGCTGCGGAGACTATTCCTTATGCTGCAGACGGGAGAGGAACAACGTGCCTCCCCTTCTCCAACAGCTGCTAACCTCAACATTAAGCATTCCCTTGTTTCTGCCTTCCTAGGAGCAGAGTGGCACAGCTCCAGCATCAGGAGCAAGCTAGGGAATGACACAGCAGCCTCCCTTTTCCCCAGTTATCATAGGAAAGTTTTCCTATGACTAAACATCAGCAAGGGAAGGCGTTTAAGAAAGCGGCAAAAAACCAAATAAACCTTCTACACCACACCACAGACTGGTGAAATGAGGAAGAAAGGAAGCTACCCTGAACTCCAATATGTAAGCACATTAAAAAAACCAAAACAGATTCCTTTAAAAAGGAGGGTACAGATGGATTAGGCTGAAATCTACCACCCGTTATTCAGCCCGAGGGTTGTTCCAGCTCCTGTTAAGTTGAGGAATGTAATTCCAGTAACTGAGAGTGCCAAGCAGGTGGACAGCCCATCACTGGTTCTCCTCTTGCTGTTCTTCTTGCTTTGGAACAGCATTGTGGTTTCTCACAGAACGATTTCTGGCTTCTCTGATGCTCTTTCCTTCAGAGCTTCATTAAACTGGGTTCTCAGTATCTGGTGAAATAACTCCCTGCATTTTCATGAGATGAGCTGAGAGAGGGAAGGAAAATTTTGGACAGTTCAGAAGATACAAAGGTCTGCAATGAGAGAACTAAATACACGCAGGGGTGATTTTCAGAAACTTCCTGCAAAGAAATAGTGATTTTATTCTAAGGATGTACTTACACTCATTCTGTGTAAAGAGAAATAGAAAGCAGCATCTGAGAAACAAACAAAAGCCCAAAGCCTTAAGATGCTTCTCAAGTTACCAGTCCAAATTTTTCTTCCTTCTAACCATCAAAATACGGTCCAGCACTAGGACCATACATGTTACAAAAGCCTAGTGATAAATAAATCATTATCATTGCTCTTTTTGCTACACTAATGTAATTTATATCAGTCTCTGTAGAAACTTCATTACAAAAAACCAACATGATTTAAAGTCATCACTAATTCTTTCCCTTAAGTAATTGATATTTTTGGTACACTGCAGCCAAAGCTAACAGAACAAAAAAAGCCCACCACACTTTATTAGACAAATATTAACAGTTCAACGTAAAAATAAGCCCTACGGCACACCATTTCACGTATCATATTTGCAGCAGCTCAGACACTGCAAAAGGATTACAGTGAGATGCTCGAGGGCCTGCATTTCGTACCTCAAGCCAAACTGTTATCCAGATATTCACAGTTTTCAGCAGTATTGGATGGTTTCTTCGTTTCAGATTACGGGAGGT